GTGTACCCTTACTGATTTTAACCTTGCTCACATGGTCATGAGCCTCTCAGATTCATTACATAAGAGCAAAGGTTTTTTTTTTTCTGGTATTGTGTCACCATTTGTAAAATTGCAATTTACATTTTAAAAACATTAATGCAAAAATAAGGTTGCAGCTTTGCCTGGTAATGATATGGTCCTATAAGTAAAATTTGCTATGGCTAAAAGTAACCCAAAGTCAGTTCTTCTTGTGCAAGTTCCTTTCCCCTGAGGCTGTCCTCATAGGTGGAGCTGTGCCCCTGTTTTGGGCCAAAGAATGTTGGAGCATTCCCAGTGTCTATGGAGGTATATAACTGAATTCCTTAAGGAAAAGTTCATACAGTTCAGTTTTTGCTCTCCTAGTCCTGTGATGGTTCGTATGGAAGGGAGGTAGACTGTAGCTGTCAATTACAAGCACTTAATTCAGCAGTTTAATAGTATTCTTCTAGGACTTCCTCTCACTCCTGAGAGGTGGTGCTTGCAAATTTGTCATGTGGTAGAAATATCAGAAGCAAAATTGGTTTGGTGATACCTTTTAATTGGAACCACTTCAGAGTTGGAAGAGATGTTAGACAAGTTTTTGGACATAGAATACCCTTCTACTCCTGGTGACTCTTTACTTCCTTAGTACTATGTTATAAGCACCATGTGCTAACCCGCTCCATGACTGAAGCTGGTAAAACAAGTGCTTCAGGTACCACTGGGATTTGAACCAAGGACTTCCTGTTTACTAGACAGGAACTTTAACCAACTAAGCCATAGTACCTCTTATATCAATCTTTCAGGTGATGCTTTACTCTCCCAGTACTATGTTATAAGTACCACATGCTAAAGCAATGTATGACTGCAGCTGGCAAATGTAGTCTTTAAGGTGCCACTGGGATTTGAACACAGGATTTCCTGCTTACAAGAGAGGTACTTTAACTTGCTAAGCCATGGCACCTCTGTGTTAAGTGGGTGGTGTGTGGCTTGAACTTATGAGCTTGGCTTCACTTGCCCAGTACTACTTCCTAAGTACCATGTGCTAACCCACTGCAGGACTTGAGCTGGTAACATGAGCCCTGAAGGTACACCTGGGATTTGAACCTACAATCTCCTGTTTATGAGAAAGGCACTTTAAAGAAAAACCCATGGCACCTTGTAAAAGGGTGAGGCCTTAACTCAAGACCTTGGTTTCATTTTCCCAGTACTACTTTATAAGTACAATATATGACAGGACCTGGTGAAAAGAATCCTCAAAGTACCACTGGGATTTGAACCCAGGACTTCCTATTTACGAGACAGGCATTTTAACCAACTAAGCCATGGTACCTCTGACTTCAAAGCTCCAGGTGACATGTTACTTCCCCAGTATTAAGGCATAAGTACCACATGCTAAAGCAGTTTACAACTGCAGCTTGTAAGAGTAGCCCTCAATGTACCACTGGGATTTGAACCCAGGACTCCGTTTTCAAGACAGGTGTTTTAATCTGCTAAGCCATGGCACCTCTATGTCAACTACATGATGTGTGGCTTGAACTGATGAGCTTGGCTTTACTTGCCCAGTAGTTCTTTATAACTATCACGTGCTACCCACTGCATGACTGAAGCTGGTAAAGTTAGGCCTTAAAGTACCACTGGGATTTGAACGCAGGACCTCCTGTTTATGAGGCAGGCCCTTGAACCAACTAAGCCATAGCCCTGTGTAGGCTGATGTGAGGGGTAAGCATGGCTTCATTCGCCCAGTAGTTCTTTATAAGTACCATGTGCTACCCACTGCACAACTGTAGCTGGTAACATGAGCCCTCAAGGAATACCTGGGATTTGTACATCCTGTTTATGAGAGAGGTGCTTTAACCAACTAAGCCATGGCACCTCTTAGTCCAAACCTCCAGGTGACACTTTACTTCCCCAGTACTACATTATAAGTATCATGTGCCAACCCAGTGCATGACTGAAGCTGGTAAAGTGAGGCCCCAAGGTGCCACTGGGATTTGAATCTTATTTACTAGACAGGTGCTTTAACCTTCTAAGCCATGGCACTTCTTTGTTGAATACCTGACATGTGGCTTGAACTCATGAGCTTGGCTTCACTGGCCAGTAGTTCTTTATAAGTACCACCTGCTACCCACTGCATGACTGAAGTTGGTAAAGTTAGGCCTTAAAGTACTACTGGGATTTGAACCCACAACCTCTGGTTTATAAAATAGGCCCTTGAACCAACTAAGCCATGGCCCTACCTAGGCTGATGTCAGGTTTGAGGCTTTTCCTCATGACCTTGGCTTCACTTGCCCAGTACAATTTTCTAAGTACCATGTGCTAACTCCCTGCATGACTTGAGCTGCTAACATGAGCCCCCAAGGAACACCTAGAATTTGAACAGACAAATCTCCTGTTTACAAAACAGGTGCTTTAACCAACAAAGCCATGACACTTCTTAGTTAAACTGTCCCCATGATGCTTTACTTCCCCAGTACTATGTTATAAGTACTACATGCTAAGCAACTGTATGCCTGAAGCTGGTAAAGTGAGCCTTTGCAGTACTACTGGGATTTGAACCCAGGACCTCCGTTTATGAGACAGGCCTTTAAGGTGCCATGGCTTAGTTGGCTCAAGTACTTATGTCAGGGGTGAGGCTTTTACTCATGAACTTGGTTTCACTTGCCCAGTACTAATTTCAGACTACCATGTGCTAGCTCAGCGTATGACTTGAGCTGGTAAAATGAGTCCTCAAAGTATCAGAGGGACGTGAACCAAGGACTTCCTGTTTATTAGACAGGCACTTTAACCAACTAAACCATGGTACCACTCACTTTAAGGTTTCAGGTGATGCTTTACTTTCCCAGTACTACGTTATAAGTACCATGTGTAAAAGCAGTGTACAACTGCAGTTGGTAAAAGTAGTCATTAAGGTACCACTGGGATTTGAACCCAGGCCCCCCCCAAGTTATTCAACAGATGCTTTAATCAACTAAACCATAACATCTCCTTGCTCCAGATAACACATCTCTCCAGGTAACACTTTACTTCCCTAGTACTATATTATAAAGTACCACATACTAACCCAGTCCATGACTGGAGCTGGTAAAATGAGCCCTCCAGGGACCACTGTGATTTGATCCCAGGATTTACTGTTTATGAGACAGGTGCTTTAAACATCTAAAGCCATGAGATTGCTTATGCTGATGTCAGGCTTTTACTCATGACCTTGGCTTCAGTTGCCCAGTATGACTTTCTAAGTACCGTGTGCTAACCCACTGCATGACTTGATCTGCTAACATAAGCCCTCAAGGAACACCTGGGATTTGAACCTACAATCTCATGTTTACAAAACAGGCAGTTTAAAGAAACACCCATGGTACCTTGTAGAAGGGTGATGCTTTTACTTATGACCTTGGTTTCATTTGCCCAATACTACTTTATAAGTTCCATGTGCTAACCCAATGGGCAAGTGGAGCTGGTGAAACAAGCCTTTAAGGTAGTACTGGGATTTGAACCCAGGACTTTGTTTACTAGGTAAACACTTTAACCAACTAAGCCATGGTACCTCTTCCTTCAATACTTCAGGTGACGCTTTATTTCTCCAGTTCTACATAAGTACCACGTGCTAGAGCAGTGTATGACTGCAGTTGGTAAAAGTAGCCCTCAGGGTATCACTGGAAACCTGGGATTTCCTGTTTACAAGACAGGTACTCTAACCTACTAAGCCATGGCACCTCTGTGTTAAGTACATGACATGTGGCTTGAACTCATGAGCTTGGCTTCACTTGCCCAGTAGCTCTTTATAAGTACCATGTGCTAACCCACTGCACAACTAAAGCTGGTGAAATGAAGCCTCAAAGTACCACTGCAATTTGAACCCAGGATGTCTTCCTTACCAGACAGGCACTTGAACCAACTAAGCCATGGCACCTCGCAGGACCAGGTGGCGGGAGAGACTTTTACTCAGGACCGTGGCATCACTTGCTCAGTACTACTTTCCAAGTACCATGTGCTAACCCACTGCATGACTTGAGCTGAGAACATGAGCCCTCAAGGTACACCTGGGATTTGAACCTACAATCTCCTCTTTACGAGACAGGCACTTTAAAAAAAAAAAAAAAAAAAAATCCAACCATGGCACTACCTCGGCCCATGTGTGGGGATGAGGCTTTTACTCATGACCTTGGTTTCATTTGCCCAGCACTACTTCATAGGTACTATGTGCAAACCCACAGCACAACTGGACCTAGTGAAATGAGTTCTCAAGGCACTACTGGGATTTGAATCCAGAATTTCCAGTTTAATAGACAGGTACTTGAACCAGCTACACCATGGCACCTTGTAGGCCTATACTACTGCTGAGGCTTTTACTCAAGGCCTTGGCTTCACTTGCCCAATACTACTTTAAGTATGACGTGCTAACCCACTGCACTACTTGAGCTGGTAAAATGAGCCCTCAAGGTGCCACTTGGATTTGAACCCACAATCTCCTGTTTTGGAGAAAGATGCTTTAAACAAATAAGGCACCTCGTAGGGCCATGTATGGGGTGAGAATTTTATTCATGACCTTGGTTTCACTGGCCTAGTACTACTTTAGAAATACCATGTACTAAGTCACTGCAGGAGTGGAACTGTTGAAATGAGCTCCTAAGGTACCACTGGGATTGGAACCCTGGATTTCCCCTTTACAAGGTAGGCGATTTAACCAACTTAACCATCACACTTCTTAGCTCCATGCTTCTGGTGAGGCTTTGACTTCCCCAGTACTATGTTGTAAGTACCACATGCTAAAGCAGTGCCTCACTGGAGTTGGTAGAACTAGTCCTGAAGACACCATGGGATATGAACCCAGGATCACCCGTTTACAGGACAGGTGCTTTAACTTGCAAAGCCCTGGCACCTCTGAGCCCAACACTCAGTGCCATTTGAACTAATGACCTTGGTTTCACTTGCCCAGTACTAATTTTAAAGTACCACTTGCTAACCCACTGCACAATTGGAGATGGTGAAAGAAGTCATCAAGGTACCACTAGGATTTGAACCCAGGATTTCCTGTTTATTAGGCAGGAGCTTTAACCAACTAGGCCATGGCACCTTTTAGTTCAATCCCTCAAGTGAAGCTTTACTTGCCCAGGATTATGTTATAAGTATGATGTGCTAAAGCAGTGCACCACTGGAGCTGCTAAGACTAGCCCTCAAGGTATGTCTGGGATTTGAACCTATGATCACATATTTACAAAGACAGGTGCTTTAACCTGCTAAGCCATGGCACCTTTGAGGCAAATGGTCTTGGTGAGGCCTGAATACATGTCCTTGGCTTTATTTTCCCAGTGTAACCCTGGGTGCGACACTACATGCGCCCTCACCTGAATAATGGGATCCTGGGGTACCCGGTAGCCAGTAGCCCTGCCCAGCCCCCCTGGGAAGCTGCTGCAGTGCCCCTGAGTGGAGAGCTTCCCCTTACAATCAAGCACCCTCGCAGACAATTCTCAAATTATTTACAAGATGTAGTTATTTACAACATAACAAATAATCATTAAATAAGCACATGGATATACCAACTAATAAACCCTCAAGAACTTATTTACAGTCTCTCACTTGCACATGGTATACTGGGGATCCCATGTGCACTGCCCCTGGCAGGGTATCTCAGGTAGTGGGACTGTCTGTGTCCCTGCACAGGGTCTGTGGATGCTCCCTGGCACTGGTGTCTATCTCTGTGCTCCTGTGGTCTCTGAGCAGCAAGCAGCAGTTCCTCTGCAGTTCCTGCAAGACAACCTTCCCCAGCCTTTGCCCCCCTTCCCTGGTTCTGCTGGGAGCAGTGGCTGGGCTCCAGGCTGTAAAACCGCCCCTGCCCCAGCCAGCTTCACAGCCCTGGCAAATGCAGCCCCTCCCTGGGCTTTGCCTGCCCCTGGGGCCCCTCCCCCATCAGGGAAACTAGGGCAGACCCCGGCAGTTCCCCCCCCCCAGCTCTGCTGTGCTCCCCCAGCCACACTGGCTGCAGTCAGGTCTCTCCAGGCTTGGATTCTCCACACCAGCAGTCCCTGCCTGATCCTGCTGCAGCTTCTCCACTGCTGCTCCTGCAGGCCTCTCTCAGGGGCTCTCCAAGGGACCACTGCACTGAGACTCTGAATCCAATCTCCAGCCTATCCCTCAACTCCCCCTCTCTCTAGTTCCTCCCCACAGGAAAAACTGCTCCCCCTTTTATCCAAGCCTCTCAGCCAATCCCAGCTCAGGGCCCTTCTCGGGCTTTTGCTAATGGCTCTCTTTCAAAACTTTGCTGGGGTTACATCACCCCTCCCACTTCCAACAGGGCTACTTCCAAAACAGCTTCACTTGCCCTCAGAGCCTACAGTGTCCCCTCTGGGACAAACTCTGTCTCTGCCAGGCAGCCCTTCCCATTCTGTTCAGGTGGGTCCATTTTTTAAAGGCTGCTACACCAGTACTACTTTAAAAGTACCACGTGCTAACCCGTTGCACCACTGCTGCTGGTAAAACTAGTCCTTGGGGTAAACTGGGATATTTACCCAGGCTCTGCCATTTACTAGACAGGTGCTTTAACCAGCAAAGCCATGGCACTTCTTCATCCAGGCCTGCTGAGGCTAGGACTCATAAGAGCTTCAGTGCTGGGGAGGGACCAGGAGCTCGGTGAGGAGAGCACAGGCAAGGACCCTGTCTGCGATGCCTGTGGCTGAGTTTGTGAAGCTTTGTAAAACTCAGCAGCTCGACAGATATGGGGGTGGTGTTAGCAGAATATGGACAGCATCCCTGCCTGTGTTCTCTGATCCTTCCCCCAGTGCCGGTGAGCTGTGGCTGCTTTGGAGAGCGCAGAGCAGAAACTTAAAAAATGTTTTTAAACCTTTTCCTCAGCACACCTCCTGGTGTGTCAAGGAAAATGTGTCCATGTGCCAGTAATTGGCACACATGCAGGGGGTTTCCTATCCCTGTTCCATGGTATTTTGTTCCTGGTAAAACAGCTCTTAAGTTCATAATTAATCTCTAATTAAAATTTCCATGTGATGTGGTTGTGAGCACATATAGCTTCCATAATTTTCCTTGCCTCTGTTAGCCATGGGTCTATTGTTTATGGGGGCATCCTCTAGACATAAAAATTGGCTATGAAGTCTATCAGTGTCGAAAATCCACTCTGTGTGAAAGTACTCCCCTCTAGCTTGCAGATGTGCAGGGTGAACTGGGACACAGTTGTGTACCTCATTTACTGTGTTTATCTCCCAATGTTTTTAGAAGCTGCCTTCAACATTCCAAAGGCACCATCCATCACTATTCTACTAGCAATATAATTGGATTTGCTGTTTAGCCCCAGACTGTCTGGTCTGGCTTCATTAGTCCTGGCAGGAGAAGACGGAGTAATCCCTACAATATTACACTGAGAACCTGTAGCCAACTGATAGACATATCCCTGGGAGACAGGGAGGCCCTAATTTATCCAAGTGTGTAAATATTAAATCTTCCGAACCATACCACATCTCAGGACCAGGCCTAAGTCTCATTTTGGAGCTGGACCTACCTGGGCCAGAAGATGAATTTTCCAGGTGTATTTTTTTTTCAGTTACAGAGATGCAGCCAGCTGCTGCTCCTTTCCATAGAGAGAAAAGAGCTGGTAAAGTTTCAATATTTTTTAGCTTCTAGGAGAAATAAACACAGATAAAATAGCTTTCTGTTTTCTAGACTGCAATTCATGGATTATAAATGTTGCTAGACCTGCACATTAGTCTCATCAGTGAAGCTTTCAACTTATTTTCAATGTGTAGGTGTGTTTTTATCATGCCATTTGCATTTCCCAGATGACTACATAAAACAAGTGTTGCAAATATTCTGCAACTTAACAACATAAAAATTCTTATGAAACTACTGACTTGGGTCGTCCTGGAGCCTGATGTGGGATTGGTTAGTGACTCCTCTGGCTTCTAAGTCAACACTAGTATTAAAAGTAATTGGTACCACTCCCACAAAATTCAGTGGCAGCTGATCAGACTATGTATTAGTAGCAGATAAGATGTAATGTAAGTGACTTCCAAAGTTCCTAGGATGAATTAAAAGCATATATGCCTGAAAATACATCTTAAGAGGAAAAGACTAAATATTTTACAATAGAAGGAGGAGAATTCCAAGAATCTAGAGCGAACAATCTGCTTTGTCACATTATAAAATGTCTGTAAGAAACTATTGTGATTATCATAATGGATTCTTGGGATGTTTCCACTTCCATCTATTGTTCAACATCTTCATTAATGATGTGGACATTGGAGTCAGAAGCAGACTGGCCAAGTTCGCCGATAACACCAAAATTTGGGGCAGAGCATACATACCTGAAGACAGAACGGTGATCTAGGCTGACCTGGACAGGCTCAGCAAATGGGTGGACAAAAACCTGATGGTGTTTAACATTGAAAAATGCAAGGATCTCCACCTTGGGAGGAAAAACCTGCAGCATCCTTATAGGCTCAGCTGTGCTACACTGGCTAGCACTACGGAAGAAAGAGACTTGAGGGGTCATCATTGACCACAAGATGAACATGAGCCTGCAATGCGATGCTGCGGCTAGTAAAGCGACCAAAACACTGGCTTGCATCCATAGATGCTTCTCAAGCAAATCCCAGGATGTCATTCTCCCCTTGTACTTGGCCTTGGTGAGGCCGCAGCTGGAGTACTGCGTCCAGTTTTGGGCCCCACAGTTCAAAAAGGATGTGGAGAAGCTTGAGGGAGTCCAGAGAAGAGACACACGCATGATCAGAGTTTAGGAAACCAGACCGTATGACGACAGGCTGAGAGCTATGGAGCTCTTTAGCCTGGAAAAGCGCAGGCTCAGGGGTGATCTGATGGCCACCTATAAGTTTGTCAGGGGTGACCACCAGTATCTGGGGGAACGTTTGTTCACCAGAGCGCCCCAAGGGATGATGAGGTTGAACGGTTATAAACTACTGCAAGACCGTTTCAGGCTGGACGTAAGGAAGAATTTCTTTACTGTCCGAGCCCCCAAGGTCTGGAATAGCCTGCCATCAAAGGTGGTTCAAGCACCTACATTGAACACCTTCAAGAGAGAATTGGATGCTGATCTTGCTGGGATCCTATGACCCCAGCTGACTTCCTGCCCTTTGGGCAGGGGGCTGGACTTGATCTTCCGAGGTCCCTTCTAGCCCTAATGTCTATGAAATCTATGAAATCTAGAGCCAGGGAGGTCTGAATGAAGGAATCAGGAGGAAAAAAGAATTAAAAACTTCTGAATCAAACTAAAGCAAACAGTTCGTGTTTTTTGGATCACAAAATATTTGTTTTAATTTTCAGATTATTTAGCCTTTTTAACCACTTTTAAATTTTGGTCAATTACTTTTTTTACAGTAATTTCAAAAACAAAAGTTGAACAATTTAATTTGGAAAATGTTGAAATAAAACATGTTTGAATTTCCTAAATGAAACATTTCCCCTAGTTTTGGGCCAAAACTATTCTCTCAATTCAATCCCAATTTTTGAATAGCTTTAGTACCTTCCCAAGTTAACATTACTGTCCATTGAAAAAAATACCTAATTCTATTTTCAATACATCTAAGACAACAAAACAACTTCACACAGTCAGAAAAGCTTCTGATTTAGCTTCTCACATTGTAGGTTTTTTTTTCTCTTTTCCTTCTGTTAGATTGTTCTTCTTCATCTCTTCACTGGTACCTATTTGCCATGATATTTGGCATTTTCCTCCTATCTTTCCTAATAAGAACAGCAGAGGCATAACAGAGCAGCTGGGTGGCTGGGGCAGTGGTGATGCATGATGCATTTTCTGGCTGCTGGTGCTGCCTGTGCAGATGTGCAGCTTTAGTGGCAGTTGTTATTTTTCTATGTCAGCATCTGGGGCTGCTGCTCCAGTCATCCTGCCTTAGTTACACTACTGAAGATCATGGATCTTGGAAGTTCAAGATAAGGATCATGCTTGCATGGAAGTCACTGGCACTTGATCACAAACGTTATGTTTTGCAGTAATTGTTCTTACACAAATCCTTTTCCAAAGGGAAAGAAAGTTTTTGGGCAGTGAAAGTTTGTTACATTTCAAACATGCAGCATGGTTTCAGCAAAGCAAACAGAGCTGTTCTGCAAATAGGAAAGTCACAGCTGTTTTTTGGACTCCCTGAAATTGAGGGACCTTGTGTAGTTCAGAGAGCAACAGACTGTAGCAGATTGGCCCAACTTGTCTTGAGCTGGCATGGCTGAGGAGGAACAGAGAACAGGAATCCATTTATGGGATTTGAGGACATGGTTGGATATGTCTGAATCTTAGCAGCCTCTTGGGTTCCACTTTATTGCTAGTTGTTCATACTCCCTGGCTCCTGCTTGGACTGCACAGACGCAATGGAACACACAGACCCATACGTTCAGACTTGCATTGTGGGAGATTCAATCTGGCCAGTGTGCTCAGCTCCTGAGGAAAAATGGAGTGAAAAAGGGTAAAGGTATTTAAACTGTAACTTCCCCAAGGCATAGCAATTGTAGGAAGATGCAGTTTGATGTGAGGTTGACCTGAAACATAATGTTCTGGTTTGTATCAAATGGCCAAAATAAAATATTTCATTTTTGGGAATGCCAAAAACCTCTTCCTTTTGATCAGTAAGGGGGAAACAAATGTTTTTGACATTTCTGAATCAACATTTTGACTTGTCCAGGTTTAGAATGAAACTAAATTTGAAAGGCAGGAATATCAGATAGAATTTCCACAATATCTCACACTGATGGGATTTTTTTTTGTTCAACTGTATGGTCCCTGCTATTATAAAGAATAATTTGGTCATCGGCTAATTAGCTCATAAGCTCTTCAGGAGAGGGACTTTATCAGCTTTCTGTGACACGATAGGGACTGGATCATGTCTGGGGCCTTTTGTGTCACTTATGTAGGATAAATAATATGGGTTGTTGTTGCAGGGCACTAAGGTGCCTGCTTCTCTAAGAGCAGAAACTGCCTGAGGAGAGAGCCAAAAGAGCCAGACAGAAGCCCACAGGTCCAGGTTGCCATGGCAACAGGCTAAGGAGCAAATTAGCCTGCACCTGCACCTGGCCAGCTGACCGGAAGAGGCAGGGCCCTGGGCCCATACAAACCCCAGGGCTGGGACTAGAGAGGTAGTTCTCTGTCAGCTGCTAAAGGGGAAGGAGCCTCCAAGGAGATGCTGCAGCTGCCCGATATACTGCACTTGGGGCTAATGGGGCTCCAGGAGCTCACCAGGTACCCTTGCCTACAAGGCACTTAGTGCCAGGGTAGAAGTTGACTCTTTTAAAGGGGCAAAGTACACCCACATTTTTTTGTGTTATGTTCTAGCCCAGGGGCTTATATTTTGGTTGCTGTTTTATAACACTGGAGGATCGGGCTGAGTACTGTAAGGTCAAGTTGGCATAGGTCACCATATTTACTGTGCAGTACGGGCATGCATATGTAGATGTGTGCCATTACTGTGCAGTAAGTTCGGTTACTGCACAGTAAATACACACATGTAGATGTGCCCACAGAGGCATAGCCATCCCAAAGGGATGCAGGACAGACATGGCTATGATGATCCTATCAAGCCCTCTCCTTTCCTAGTTGTAAGAGATCTGAGGAGTCTTCTATTCCATTCTAAAAGATGGGGCTGTCGTCTTGGCTGCTCTGAGGGACCTCTCTCTCAACTTGACTGGCTGTTCATTATATCATGTCTCCAATTCTAAGTTTTTTACATTCTACACACAGTATTTCAATATCAAAATATTTCTGTACACTGTAGAGGAGTACTTGGAGAGCCTCCAACCTTGCATTTTAGCCTCATGCCCTAAAAGCAACAGTACAAGTCGTTTGTGCTTAGAGGATAAATAAAGAATTGTGTAGTATTTATCACTGTCAGCCTGATTCCTGGAGGCTGGTAATTCACACTGTCACATCAGGCAGGTAAAATAAGTGGAGCTCCTGTTTGTCATTATGTAGCAAATGCCTGTCTGAGTTCAGTCCTCATTTCTTCCACAGAATTTGAATTGGGCTGGTTCCCAGTCACTTGATTCTTTCCCCTTGTGAAGGATTGTTGGGCTTCAGAACTTACATTTTTACCTTAAGCAAAATTTAAATCTTTTGATCTAATGATTCCTAACAGAACCTATGAAAGGTGACCAGAATGTAATCCAGCATGGTTCTCACACCACACTTTCTCCAACCCTTCCTTAGAATCCAAGAGGAAATCCTTTAACAGCAGATATCCTGGAGGCTGGCCAGAAGCCTTAACCATGATTTGGTAGCTTCTCAGCAGATCTGAGAGTTAAAAATGATACAGAAAGGGCACTGAGCTCCACTTGACTCTACCGGTCTGTGTTTGAGTACTGTATACCGTTTTGTAAGAGAACATCCATACAGCTACCAAATTGATTGAATGACCCCTTGTAATTACAGGTGAATCAAAGGGGAAGTTATTGCACAAAACAAGACTTGACCTTGGAACTGCTTTTATTAGATCATATCTCAAGAGAAACTTGCAATGGAGTTAATATCCTTTCTCCTGAACCTGTGGTAACAGGTTCCTTTTTTTTTTTTTTTTTTTTTTTAAAGCGCCCTGTCCTCACTTAACCGTGGCAGAGGCAGGACCAATCTCTTTGTGAAGCTCCTTCCAACAGCTTCCTGACCTGCTATGTTTGATGTATTACCTTTCTTTGGCTGTTTTATGTGCTTTGCTGTTCATCTGAGTCGTCTTGCCTAGCTTGGCTCGCCAGACTTGCTTCTATCAAGGCTGTGGTGGAAGCACATCTTCTAGCTGGATTGGAGCTGCACTGGGGCTGGCTGGGTAGGGGAAGCAGCTTCCAGCTGTTTGCCCTTGGTGTAGCTCTCTTCTGGGTGGAACGCATGCTCACACTGCAGCTAGGGAGCCACTGGCTGGGAGAAGGAGCCATGGCATTGGGTGCAGCTTCCAGCTATACCTTCCAGCTGGGAGCATGGGGAAAGCGCCCCCTCCCACTGCTGATCTGCCATGGAAGCTGCCTGGCTTGTTCTGGACTAGAACCAGGTTCTTCTGGCCTGTGGCTTGAAAAAGGGTGCCAGCCCTTGACTTAGGTGCTTAAGGGAAGTAAGAGGGAACAGGGGAAACCTGCCTTCTCATCCCTGTTGGTTTATTATTTTATTAGACAATTAATAACCACAGGCCCAGGGACTGGAACAGGGCTAGCCCATCCACACCTGCAAAACCTGTGGCCACAGGGGGCCCCACAGCCAAGGGGCCCCATGTGGCCGGCATCTTCCCCAGCAGGGAAGTGAAAGTCACAGTTTTAAACTTGGTGCCCATTTTTGGGGCCAAGTTTAAAACTGCAGCTTTCACATTTGCTTCCCTGGCAGCTGGAAGCAGGACCCTTCCTCTACCAACACCAGGCCCAGCCTAGCCCTCTGCATCTACAGAGTTGCTTGGGATGGCTGGGCAGCAGCTCCCTGCATGTGAGTGTAATGGGGGGTTGGGGGGAGTGAGACTGAGCCGCAGGGGGGAGGGCGGAGGGCTGTCTGTGTGTGTGATATCTTTTATTAGACCAACTAAATAGAAACATTTTTTTCTTAACAAGCTTTTAGGCTTAAAAGTCCTTGGTCAGGCTGGGGAAGCATCTGCATGTGGTGTGTATTCTTCCTGGATGGAATGAATGGTAAAGAGGCCAGAGGCTGGGCTGTAGCAAGAAGGGCAGTCAGTGGAGGTGTAAATTGAGGAGTCAGTGGGTGAGGGACAGGCTGGGGGTAGGGGGGATGAATGTAGCAAGGAAAAGTGGAGGTACCTGGGGAGTTAGATGACAGGCAGCATATAGTGTGTTATAAATCCAATGTCTATGTTTAGTCCAGGGATGTACTTAGTAGCTGTGTCTTTGAGAATTGTCCTGAGTTGCTCTTTGGTATGTAGATTAGGTAAAATTCCTCCCCTGGAGGTGTCAGTTGGCAGATGGAGAGGTAAAAAAAATCTTTCTTGTTGTTCTGAAATGAAGTTTAAAATCCAAAATCAGCTAAAATTTGGCATCTTCTATGTTTCAGGGATGTACTTGGTAGCCATGTTGGTCTGAGACGAGAAGAAATACAAAAATGTAGAAGTCTTGGTTCCAAAATGATACCTTTTATTAGACCAACTGGGAAATCACAAGAAAAAGCAGGACCCAGAGGGACAGCTTTCCATCTTCAGCTCCCTCTGTGCAAAAATGAAGTTTATTTCCTACCTATGGGGACTTTTTACCATCTATACTTTTCTCAGAGCCTAATGAAGGGCCTTTGAGGCTGAAAGCTCACAGAAAAGAAGTTTTCTTGTGATTTCCCAGTTGGTCTAATAAAAGATATCATTTTAGAACCAAGAGTTCTATAGTTTTGTATTTCTTTTATGCTTAGTCCATGATTTTTTGTATCCAGGAAGTCGATAGGCCCATCTCTGAAAAGTGTTTTGTGAATTCCCTTTTGAGGATTAGAACTGAGAGATTGGAGGGAGAGTGGTTTTCTTGTGATAAATGTGCCCCCACAGGTAATTGGGTATTCTTGTCTTTGATAGATTTCTGGTGTGTGTTCATTGTGGTGAGCAGTTGTTGTTTGGTCTCATATGTATTTTCCATCAGGCCATTTGGTGAATTGGATGAGATATATAACGTTTCTGGAGGTACAGGTGTAAGATTCAGGAATGGTGATGGTTCTGTTGTGGGGTGTAGTAATTGTGGGGGTGGTGGAGATGTGTTGGCAGGTTTTGCATTTCTTTCTATGGCATGGCCTGCATCCATTCGGTGTGTTTTGGGCCATAGGGAGTTTGCTTCTGGTGATGAGGTTAGCGAGGTTCAGTGCTTGTTTGAAGGCTAGGATGGGTGGATCTGGGGAGATCTGATTAAGAATTGTGTCTCCTTCTAGTATGAGTTGCAATTGTTTGAGGATTTTCCATGTATGTTCAAGGGAGGGGTGATATGTCATTCATGTGCGATTCGTGGGGGTTTTCCTTCTGCACTGCAGCAGTTCTTCACTTGGTATCCAGGTGGCTCTTTCAAATGTACATCTTTATCTCTGGAGGAGTATCCTTGTTGTGTGAAAGCCTTTTTAAGATTTGTGAGGTAGCAATTCTGGGTGTCCTCAGTGAAAATTCGGTGGGATCTGAGGGCTTGACTGTATAGCACAGGTTTCTTTGTGTGTTTAGGGTGATTGCTGGTTTTGTGCAGATATGTATGTTGGTCTGCAGGCTTCTTGTATAACATGGTTTGTTTTTTACCATTCTGGATGCTGATCATTGTGTCTAAAAAGGAGATGTTGGTGCTGGAGTACTCAAGAGATAGTCGGATGGAGGGGTGATGATTGCTGAATTTCTGATGGAACTCAATTGGAGATTGCAGGTTTTCAGTCCTAATGGTGAATGTCATCGATATATCTTAAGTATAGCAAGGGTTTGATGGTGCAGTCTTTGAGGAATTTTTTTTCTAGGTGGC